TGGAACGTGTGATGTTCTCTTTTTGTCTACGTTATCACATTTTGCATATGTCTACAAGTTTCGTTATTAAGTACAAATATAAATGCCACCGATTTTTTTTATACACAACAATTCTTTTTAATTCATTTTTCTTATCATCTTTTTAATTTATTTTTCATCATTTTTTCAATTCACTTTTTATTCATTTTTTAAGTCATTCTTGTTTATTATTTCCCTAACAATTTTAATAAAATATTTCGCAAAAATTCAATTATTCTCATAAATAATAACATTCTTTGTAAGAATTCAATTATTTTCAATTCATTTCAATTTTTTAAAAATTATTTTTGAAAATTTAAATAAAATTCTTCGCAGAATTTCAATTAATTATAATACAATTTTTATAAAATTCAATTATATGGAAAATTTTTAATAAAATTTTTAGCAAAAATACAATTTTATTCATAAATAATCAAATTCTTCGCAAAAATTCAATTATTTTCAATACAATTTTAATGAAATTTGAATTATTTCAAAACTCATGGAATTTTTCACAAGAATCCAATTATTTTTATAAATAATATAAAAATTAAAAATTGTAATAAAATTTTCAACAAAAATTCAATTATATTCATAAATAATAAAATTCTTCGCAGGAATTCAATTATTTTTAGTACAATTTTATTAAAATATTTCGAAAAAATTGAATTATTTTTTAAAATTTTAATAAAATTCTTTGAAAAATTCAATTATTTGCAAAAATTTCAATAAAATTCTTTAATGAATTCAATTACTTTAATTTTAATAAAATTTCTGGAGAAAATTCAATTATTTTTTTAAATTTTAATAAAATTCTTAGAAAAATTCAATTATTTGCAAAAATTTCAATAAAATTCTTTAACGAATTCAATTGTTTTTAATTTAAATTTTATAAAATTGCTCAAAAGTGTTTAACTCTTTTCAATACAATTTTAATCAAATTTCTAAAAAAAATTCAATTTTTTTCAATAGAATTTAAATAAAATTTTTCAAACGATTTGAATTATTTTTAAAAATTGTAATTAAATTTTTCTAATTAATTCTATTAGTCCCAAAAGCTTTGATAACAATTTTTGTAAATTTCAATTCTTTTAGAAATTTTCAATTAAATTAAAAAAAAAATAACATTATTTTCGAGAAGTTTAAAGAAATTCTTCAAAAAGATTTAATTACTTACGAATAATCATGAATAAAATTGTTTAGTAGAATTTAATTTTCTATCGATAATTTCAATTAAATTAATTCGCAAAAGAATTGTTGTTTGAATACAATTTTAATACAAAATTTCTCGAATGATTTCAATTATTTAAAAAAATTTTTTAAATCCTTCAAAGGAATTCAATTATTTTCAAATTTTTAAATAAATACTTCCAAGAATTCAATTTTTATTTAATACATTTTAATTTTTAAAATTCGAAACATTTAAAAAGAAATTTTTTGAAAAATATTAGAAAAAAAAGAAGCAAACAAAAAACTAACTTCAAACTGCAAACGAATTAATATAGAAGAAAATAGATAGAAGATAGAAAATAATTATTTTAGAGAAAGAAACTATTAAAAATAATTTTCGAATCTACTAGTTTCTAATTTTCTCATTGAATTGAATTTTCATTATTCTTTTTTTGGGATAATTTCGATAATTTTCATTTAATGGCAAAATTTTCATTTATTATCGGCGCAATATATATTTAATGATAGACTCGCCATTAGCCTGAATTCCTCCAATCCAGTTATCTAGCCTAGCCTCGTTCTGAATTCAGACAAATTGGCACGAACGTTATTACGAGCATTCTACGAAAAATCTCTCGAGAAACTGTTAAAATTGCCAAAAAAGAAGTAAAAGCGACTCTGCTCGCAATTTATCGCATATTTTCTCGATGAGTTTCCTTCCAGCTTTTTCCTGGACTTTACAATAAGCTCCCACAGATTCTATAGATTTGCCAGATAGACACTGTTGCTGACGTTTCACACTCTTTTTTATCTTTCCTTCACAAAATTTTCAGAAAAAACCTCTTATTGAACAATAATTTGAAAAAACCAAAATTTTTCTGTCATAAATAATTTCTGTCAAAAATTGTTATTTTTTACATTTAAATGATTTATGTTAGAAAAATTTTGGTTTTTCAATAAATATTTTAAATCTAAAACTTAAAAATCCAAAATTCTGAATTTTAAAATGAGACAAAACGTAAATATTTCCAGACAAAAAAAATGTTCAATCAGAGGATTATTGTTTAGGGATTAGCTATTATATATAGGAATGCTAAGTCCTCGATTAACGGCGTTGACCTTCAGTTTAAAACTGATTAGGAAGGAAAAAAAGGTGTTGCAATTTGTCACTTCATAATGAGGTCAACTTGTAAGACTTGAGTTGCCGTGTTCCTAACTTTGACCTCTTTGGCGTGTCGAGGATGTAAAGGCGTGACGGTGCAGAACGAAATATGCGTGAAAACCAGTTACTGCACTTGGAGTTTCAGTTTTAAAATATCGCGTGCTACGAAGCAACCAACTGTAAATCAGGTTGTTCACATTACGTAAAATTAAACTTGTCTGTGTCCTAAACATTTTTCCCCTGAAAAATAAGATCCTCTTCATTATTTCCAATTGACAAAAAATATTAATTATCAAACATTCGGAAAAAATTATCAACATTTCGGAAAAATCACCGGAAATTATAACAAATATTCGGGGAAAATTATGAAGACTTCAGAAAAATGACCGGGAATCAAATAATTATTTTCAAAAAAATTTAACGAAAGAATTCAATTCTTTTCTTAATTCGTTATAAAATCTATGCAAAAATTCAATTATTTTCAAAAGAATTTGACGGAAAAATTCTATTGTTTTCTTAATGCGTTATAACATTTTTAAAAAGAATTCAATTATTTTCTAAAATTTTAATAAAATTCAATTATTTCAAGACTCATTCTAAAATTTTTCACAACAATTCAATTATTTTTATAAATAATAAAATTCATTGCAGAAATTTAATTATTTTCGATTTATGTCAATTCTAGTAAAATTTTGTAAAACAATTTTAAATATTGTATTACAAATTTTTCACAAGAATTCAATTATTTTCAATACAATATTAATAAAATCCAATTATTTCAACACTTGTTATGAAAATTTGTACAAGAATTCAATTATTTTCATAAATAATAAAATTCTTTGCAGAAATGCAATTATTTTCAATTTATTTCAATTCTAATAAAATTTTTCACAAGAATTCAATTCAATTTTATTAAAATCTTCCGAAAAAATCAATTTTTTCGTAAGTAATAAAAATATTCGGTGGAATTTATTATATTCCAATTCATTTCAAAAAAATTCTTTAATGAATTCAATTGCTGTCAATTTAATTTTAATAAAATTTCAGGAGAAAATTCAATAATTTTTAAAATTTTAATAAAATTCTTAGAAAAATTCAATTATTTGCCAAATTTTAATAAAATTCTTTAATGAATTCAATTGTTTTCAATTTAAATTTATTAAAATTGCTCGAAAGAGTTTAATTCTTTTGAATACAATTTTAATAAAATTTCTGTTGAAAATTCAATTTTTTTTAATTCTTAATGATATTTTTCAGGAAAAATTCAATAATTTTTAAAAATTTTAATAAATTGTTTGAAAAAATTCAATTTTTTTTTTAAAATAAAATGTTTGCAAAAATGCAAATGAATGTCACGAAAGAATTCAATTCTTTTTTCAATTCGTTATAAAATCTTTGCAAAAATTAAATTACTTTCAAAAGAATTTCACGAAAGAATTCAATTTTTTTTAATTCGTTATAAAATTCTTTAAAAAAAAATTCAATTACATTTATTATAAAGATTTTAATCTTTGAAAGAATTTAATCATTTTCAAAAAATTTCATGAAAGAATTCAATTATTTTCTAAAATTTTAATAAATTCTTCGAAAAAATTCAATTATATTTATAAAAATAGTAAAATTTTTTGCAAAAATTTAATTATTTTTAATACAATTTTAATCAAATTTCATGAAAGAATTTAATTTCTTTTTAATTTATAATAATATTTTTCGAAAAAATTCAATTATTTTTAAACTTTGAAATTAAAATTATTAAAGAAACTCCATTATTTATTAAAAAGTTTTAAAAAATTCCTCTAAAAGGATTTAATTAGAATTTTTAAAAAGTTTAACAAAATCCACAGTTTGAATTTAGTTTTTGTGTATACTTTGGTTTTTTTTCTCTAAAAAAACTTTTTTTGCTAAATTTTTCATAATTTACTTAATTTTATTCAAAAAAGTAAATAAGAAGTTAGCGCGTCACTTGTTGCTATAGTTTAATTATTATTTTAAATCCATTTAAAGCGGATATAGTGTTTTTCTAAAAAAAAAAACCCAGAAAATAATTAAAATTGCGAGAAAGACAAATTTAAAAAAATCCAGAGAGAAAATAAGTAGAATGTTCTACTAAAATGAAGAAAAAAAAAATATCTAGCGTGAAAAGGAAAGAATTATTCAAATAAAAAGACGAGAAGATGCGTTTCTGAACCGCAATCGTGTCTTACTTTCGTACAGTTTACTTCTTTCAAAACTCAATGCAAATTATACGTCTGGCAAGTTTCCCCAACGAGTCAGAATTTATCGGACAATTATTTATGCTTTCAGAGTATTATTATTTTTTTCCCCTTCTTCTTTTTTTTTTTGTTTTCTTTTCTACAAAATTTTTGGAAACAAAAGACTATAATTCGAAGAGAAATAATTTTTTTCCTCCTTTTTTTCTTGTTTCCTTTTCTACCACAATTTTTGGAAACAAAAGACAATAATTCGAAGAGAAATTATTATGAACGAAATAAAATAAAGCTTTCGTTCCATTTTTTCGATAGAAAATTTTCTTCTTTGATTTATTCCTTTTGGAATATTAGAGAGAGAATTTCTATAAATACTTGATGGGCTTTATTTCCTTTTTCATTTATTGAGTGAGAGAAAAATTATTGACGGTTTAGTGACTTACTGAGAATTTTGATTCCCTGAACGGGACTCAAAGGATAAAAATCCCCGTGCAGAGGACAATGGAAACCAACACGCCTTTCTCTTCTTCTCGCACGTCTCGTTAGCATGCAGAGAAAAACACCCAGGGCGAGCATTAGAGCACCAACAACAATGCATATTGGTCCTAGGATCCTGGAATTTCCTGTCAATGCGATTCTCGATGCATACGAATCCTTATCCTCGTACTCGCCTGGACCTCGATACGATGCCGCTAAAAATTAAAATACCACATTAATAATCAATTTTTTAGACAGTAAAAATAAATAATAAAAATAATTAGTAAAAATAATAAAATAAATAATAATAATAGGTAAAAATAAATAATAAATAAAATAATAATAATGAAAACAATATAATAAAAAAATAAAAATAGTAAAAAAACTGAAAATAACAATTCCGAAAGAATCGTCCACTAAGTTTTTCTGGACAAACAACAAAAATAGTATTTAAGATTTATTTTCCAAAAACAGATAAATTAGAACAAGTCCAAGAAAAAATTGTAAAAATTCACCAAAAGAAAAAACAATCAAGAGAGTTCTTCCTAAATGTAATACATATACTTAATGACAATCTAGTCATTCATCTTCTTGAGACAATGATTGAAGAAAAATATATTAAGTTGTTGTCTAATAATGAAAAAGTAGGTAGGAGTTTATTTATGTAATTGAATCCCTAGCATCTTCTCTCTCTTTAAAATTCTATTCCTGTGTTTTCAAAGTTGAACGCCTTCGATAATCGATAGGAACCTTTGTTCTCTCTGGGATTGAAAAGTTTTATACCAAAGCAAAAAGGAAAGCATGAAAAAAAATGAAAAACAATTTTTTATAATAGTCAAAAATAAAAAATAATTGATTATCGAAATATGAAAATAGTTAATTATCGCCTAATGTAAAGCAGAATTTAATTTTTTATTATTATTAGGAAAATTAGAAGATTTTTTATTTTTAAATGTCAACTTCAATTTTTTAATAAAATCAGATTCAAAATTCGAAACAAAAATTATGAGCGAAAAATATAAAATTAAATTCACTTATTAATCAATAATTTAATATTACTTATTATTTTCATAAATAATAAAATTCTTTGCAAAAATTAAAATCATTTTAATACAATTTTAATATAATTCAATTATTTTCATAAATCATGAAATTCTTCGCAGAATTTCAATTATTTTCAATACAATTTTAATGAAATTAAAGAATAAATTTTTTTTTTCACTAAAATTGAAAATCGATTTTAGTAAAAACGTATTTTAATAGAAAACAAATTTCAATGGAATTTTTAGAGTGGAAAATAATTTTTTCTTCTCCATACAAATTTGCCCCCGTGATGCACATTAGAATTGCACAAAGAAATAATCATTGAAAATTCTTTTATCATAAAATCACTATAATAATCATACATAATATTTCAAATTTTTCTTTGCTACAATTTTCAATTGAATCTCCTGATAAAAATAAATTTCTTTTCTCGAGGACTTTCACATAGATGGAGAATAATACACCACTTGACTATTTATCAAAAATAAATATTTATTATTCTAGCCAAAAAAAACTTTTATCTAAACAAAATGATATATTATTTGCTTCAATTTGCAAAAAAAATTGTTATAAATTGCGCAAGTTTCGACGTTTAAAAAAAATCAAAATTTACACCTTGTGCAATAAAAATGTCAAGAGATAGTTCTTTAGAGTAAAGGTACTTGAAGTGGAAGGTTTCAAAGTAATAAAATCCTTGTTTTATATACGTTGACGTCAGAATTTAAAAAGACCTTTTTCTTTAACAAAAAAAAAAGAAAAAATCAAATTTACTGACTTCATTTCAACGAGAACATTGCTTTTTTACACTCATTATATTCTGACGTTATTATCTCCCATCAATAAAATAAAAAAAAAATTTGGAATTTCTTAAAATATATTTTTATGTAATACAGTAAAAATATAAATAGAAATTATTATTACTTACTTACTGACGAAAAATATTAAAATTAATTAAACTCTCTTGTTCTTTTTTTAAAACTTCAATTAAGTTTCATTCGCGAGAAAAGGAGAATTTCTATTTTTAATGAAGACTAAGAATACTCGTAGAATTGTAGAAAGTATATTATTAATAAAAAGCAGAGAAATATTATTCTAAAATGAGGAAGTAACTATCAATAAAAATGCATTTCAATGAAACCTTGTTCTTATTTCTAGGTCTTCGCGCATTCAATATTCTTCTGAGCAATGATAATGATTTAACAAAGAAAATATTTATAATAATAACTCACAAAATCAATTTTTTAAATTTCTTCGTCTGAAATTCAATTTTTATTTTCATCTTCCAATTAAAAAAAAATACTCTATTTTCTATAAAATTTTATTTTATTTTTTTTGTTAATAGCAAATTTATTTCCTTTTTTTATTTAATAAAACCGTTTTCTACAATTTTTTCTTGTTTTTTTGTATTTTCCCAGAATTTTTTTTTGTATTTTTCTTTTTTCTTTTAATGACAATTTTATTTACATATTTTTTTGAATTAATAAAACATTTTGTATAATTCTTTTTTACTTTTCAAAACATATTTGAAAAGGGTAAAATTAAAATATATTTTCCCGAAAAATTATCAAATCCTAATAATTCCGATGAAGTACTAAACAATTTTTTTTCCACTTTGTTAAATTATTTTTGAATAAATTGTAAAGATTAAAATTATAAAATAATTTGTAAATTGTAAAGTTAATTTACTAAATTAATTTAAAATAATTCTCTTTCCCTTTTTTTTGAATTTACTAGAAAAAAAAAGAACAAAATGAGTCAGAACCCTTGGACAAAATTTCAAGTATAATATGGTTTCGATGTGTTTGCATAATATAATCAAATCAGCGAACGTAACAATGTTTTGTAGCCTATATACAAAAATTAACCCCCTGTAAATCTTGTATTACGTTCGTTATTCGTTTTCTCGGTCACGTTGCTGCAAGTGATTACATAATCACCAAGAGCCGTGTACATCCTTTAAAAATTACACGAATTTATTTAATTTATAATTAAATTCATTTAATTGTCAAATTATATCAATTATAAACAATAGCAATAAAATTTAAATGCCAAAAAATTGTTCTCGAATTAATAACACAAAATTTATTCAATTTATTTTCTTATTTATTAAATTATTTTGTTATTTATTTATTTAATTATTTAGTTATTTATTTATTTAATTATTTACTTATTTATTTAATTATTTAGTTATTTATTTAATCATTTATTTAACAGCCTTTGTTGATAGTTAAAGAAACTTAATTTTTGAAATTTATTATTATTTAATATAATTTTTCGTATTATACCTAATTCTTAAAAAAAAACGATTATATTTCGAAATAATTTAGTAATAATATTAAATTCCTTTAAACATAAAATTTATTTCAATGAAATAAAATAAAATGTTAAAAAGATTTCAATTTATTTTAATAAAATTTGACAAAATTTCCTATTTTTCCAATTTTTTAAAATTATTTTCGGGAATTTAGCTATTTTCGTAAAAACTGTTAATTATGATTTTTTAAAAGCCCCATTTTTCATAATTTCTAAATAATAATTTTCAAATTTTATTAATTTTTGTTTAAACAAATCAAAACCTCCTATTTTCACGTGCGGACAGAATAAATAAATAAAATTAAATTATTTTCAAAAAAAAATAAAATTTTTCACAATAATTTAATTATATTCGAAAATAATAAAATTCATCGTAGAAATTAAATTATTTTCAATATAATTTTAATAAAATTTAATTATTTTCATAAATCATGAAATTCTTCGTAGGAATTAAATTATTTTTTATAAATAATAAAATTCTTTGGAGGAATTCAATTATTTTTAATACAATTTTAACAGAATTTAATTATTTTAATAAATCGTGAAAATCTTCTCAGGAATTCAATTATTTTTAATAGAATTTTAAATAAAATTCAATTATTTTTATAATAATAAAAATAATAATTTCCAAAAATAGAATTTTCATTTTGAAAATACTGTCAATAAACAATTAATAACTAAAATTAAATCACGAGCGAAGAGCTCGAAATGAATTTGATTAAAAATAAGGTCAATATTGAATAACGATGAAATTATATTTTTTTCAATCTATTTTTGGCATGAAATTCGAGAAATAAAAAAGTTTAAATAATATACATATATATATATAGTCTCTCGTAAAATATAAATATAAAAATCATTAGCTATATAGAAGAGAGAGAGAGAGAGAGCTTTTCATTTGTTAATAATACACATTGGAATAATTTTAAGAGCGCAAAAGGTCAGAGAGATAAAACTTATTTTGGTCCATGGATACAAAAATTGATTCGATTCAATTGCGCGAGTATAGAAAAACATATTTCAAGAAGAAAAATTCAATTAAAATTAGAATTTTCTTTTCTTATCTTAAAAAAAAATTCCATTGTTTAAATATATTTTTTTATAGTTTCATTATATAGATATGACCCTATTTGACCTGACTTGTGACGTAATTGAATTATATGAGTATATAGCATAATCATCACACTTGATTATTAAAATTATTCCATAGCCTTGTGAACTTTGATTTTTGTTTTGGAATTGGCGAAATAAAAAAATTACAAGTTCAAGTGTTATGTAATCAAATAAAAAGTGTTTTCCGAAAAAAAATTGATTTTAAATTAAAAATCCAAAAATAAAGTTTTTTTAACTGAAAAATAAAAGAATAAATTACTTTAAAATAAAATCAAATAGAAAACAGTTTTTGAAAAAAAAAATTGTTTTTAAATAAAAATACAAAAACAATTTTTTAACTGAAAAATTAAAGAATAAATTTACTTTAATAAAATAAAATCAAATAAAAAAGAGTTTTCGAAAAAAATGTTTTGAAATAAAAATCAAAGAATAAAATTTTTTAAATTAAAAATTAAAGAATAAATTACAAAAATTACAAAAAATTAAAGAATAAATTAGATTTAAAATAAAATCAAATAAAAAAGAATTTTCGAAAAAAATTGTTTTTAAATAAGAATCCAAGAATAAATTTTTCTTAACTGCAAAAAATAAAAAAATAAATCAGATTTAAAATAAAATCAAATAAAAAAGAGTTTTCGAAAAAAAATTGTTTTTAAATAAAAATCCAAGAATAAAGGTTTCTTAACTGCAAAAAATTAAAGAATAAATTACTTTAAAATAAAATCAAATAAAAAAGAGTTTTCAAAAAAAATGTTTTGAAATAAAAATCAAAGAATAAAATTTTTTAAATTAAAAATTAAAGAATAAATTACTTCAAAATAAAAAATTCAAGCGAAATTGCTTTTATAATAAAAAAAAAATTGAGAAAAATTGTTTTTATAATAAAAAATTAAGAAAAATTGTTATTATAATAAATAATTCAAGAAAAATTGTTTCTTCATAATAGAAAATTCGAGAAAAGTTGTTTTTATAATAGAAAATTAAGAAAAATTGTTATTTTAATAAATAATTCGAGAAAAATTATTTTCCTAATAAATTAGATAAAAAATTGTCTTTAAATAAAAGTTGAAGAAATTTTTTCAACACTAACCGGTAAGTACAGATCCAACAAGCATGAAAAGAAATCCGAATGCAGGTAAAGCAATTTGACAATTTGCTGCAATTACAACTCCGGCGACCATGAGTCCACCCTCGATCTTCTCCACCCTCAATCGTGATATGGGCGTTGGACATTTTAATTTTGAGCTTAGACCTCCAGTTGGAATTCCCTCCTCCACTGCCACTGTACTAGGCCTGCAAATTAAAAATAATTACTAATTATTTCTCTTCTCTGGAAAAAAAATTGTATAATATAAATATTAGCAAAAAAATAATTAAATTTTAAGTTAATTATTAATTTCTTGAAATAAATTAAGTAATAAAATAAATATTATTTTACTAAATAATTAAATATTATTAAGTAAATTAAATTATGTTTTTAACATTCAATAATGAACGAAATATTTTTTTCACAAATATTTTCATAAATGATTGCAAAAAAAGTTAGAAACTTAAAGTTTACATTTATAAACTTTATATTTAATTAATTTTCTCGAAGCAAAATTATTATGGACTAAAAATTTAATTTGAAGAAGAAATAAATAAATTTCGTTTATTTGAACTTTCAGAGTTTCAGAACTTTAGTATCATGAGTAAATAGTAAATTGAATTAATTAAATAAAAAAAATATTTTACTGCAAAGGATGTAAAACAAAATTTGTGGCATCGAGAAACAAAATTCTGTTTTAAATAATTTAATATCAATACTTTTTAATATTATAATAAATAATAATAATAAATACAAAATTAAGTATTAATAATAAATATTAAATAAAATATTAATAATCAGTGATAACATTTTCGCGCTCATTAAAAAATTTATACGCTCATTTAACCGATAAATTAAATATTAATAATAAATACTAAATAAAATATTAATAATCAGTCATGAAATTTTCGCTCATTAAAAAATATATTCGCTCATTTAACCGATGAATTAAATATTAATAATAAAATATTAAATATTAATAATCATTCATAAAATTTTCGCTCATTAAAAAATACATTCGCTCATTTTCAACCTCTAGTCCTCAGTTTTTATTTTGATTTCTCTAAATTAAAATTGTAATCAATCTTCCGTGTCGCAAAATTGAAAAAAGGAAAATACACTTTATATTTGAATTTCTAGTGAAAGTTCTATAATACAGAGAAAGTGTGACAATAAAACCGGTTACATTTCTATGAAAATTATTTAAACGAAAATCAAATTGGATTATTAGAAATTTTTCCTTGCAAAACAAATTAGAGGAAGTAAAAAAAATTTATTTCAAGCAGAATTAGAAAATTCAAGTATATAAAATTTAAAAAAAAAAAAAAAGAAGAAATTGTCTCAAAATTATAATAATTTTCTTTCAGCCCATCAAGAATATGCACTCGACAGTTTGATTGCATAAAAAATATTTGCATTAACTTTTTTTTTTATTACTGCTGGACAGACATTACAATCATGTTACTATTCAAGATGATTGCCAAGGTTACTTTACCATTATTTATTCAGATAATAATTTTGCAATACTTTCAATGCACTTTGCTTAATTAATTTTGTATTGAAAATAAATTGACAGCGAAACAGGATGTTTATTATCAATCAGTTTCCGCTTATACATTTTAATTATACATAAAATATATAATATAAATTTGTAAACGAAAATAAAAAGTGTATATTCTTCCATAAAAATCTCTATAAATATTTTCATTTTTTTAAAACACTGAAAAAAAATTATTTGAATGATAATTTTTCAATATTAATAATAATTATTATAATAATAAAAATAAATAAATAATAGTAGGTAATAACAAACATTAAATTGTTAAAACAAAAATTCTTTCAGTTCCACTAAAATTATTACAAATTTTTCTCTCTCATTAAAAAAATCAAAAAACTGTTGAAGAATAAGAAAGAAAAAACACTTTACTTGATTAAATTTTCATACATTTTTTTTAACATTAAAAAAAATTTATTTTACACTAAAAAAATTCTTTCTTTAAATAAAAGCACATAATTTCACGATTTGCAGCATTTTCGTGGCGCTAAAAGACTGCTACGAATTATAACTTCTCTGCGTGAAAAACAAGTAGCGACGTGAAATTGTAAATCAAAAGATAAAATTGAAGGATATTTAAGGAGCTTGATACAAAATTGTGCAAATTAGCGCAACAATAGCATTTACAAGAGATAAAACCTCTGGTGGAGTTTTCTACGTATGTATTTTTTAATTTCCTTTTTTTCCTTTTTTTTTAACGAATGATGGACATTCCATCTTTACTTGCGTCGATCGCATTATTAAAATTAAAATACTAAAACAAACTAAAACAAAAAAACAGCACAAAATTATACTATAGTAAAATATATAAAATATATTAAAAATAAATACTTTTTTTTATTAAATTTAATTTTATTTAATTAAATAAAAAAAATTAAAATCAAATATTAAATTAAATATTAAAAATACGTTTAAAGAAAAATAGTGATTTATTCCAGTGCTAAATACTGAATACTCTTAAAATACTGCAGTGCTAAACAATAGTTTACTATGCTGTTAAGTAATAACATCGCTAATTAATAATCTGAATAGAAACCACAAAATATGAATTTAATTTTAAAAAACAAATAAATTATTTTCGCCTCGAGAATATTAGCCTATCCGTATAAATAATTATTGCCACACACAAATTTATCTCTAAATAAGGAATAATTATTCGTGCGCAAATTAAAATTTATTTCTGAATAAAACACCTTGCGTGGCCTTCTATGCGTATAATAATTACACAAAATAATGAGAATTGATTCGTTTAAAAATAAAGAAAATATTTAAGTAAACAGGTAATTAGAATTGTTAATGCGAGAAAAAATTATTTTTAACTTTAAATTTTAATTTTAAATTTCAAATTTCTGACACACTGATAACAAAATGTATTCGATACAAAATAAATATTTATAAATATCAAATATTTATATTTATTTATCATATAAATATTTAATTAAATCAAATAATTTTTATTTAATTCAAATAAATTATATTTAAATCAACAATTTTTATTTAATTCAAGTAAATTATAATTAAATCAATAATTTTTATTTAATTCAAGTAAATTATATTTGATAGTCAATAATTTCATAGTATTTGAAGAAAATACCATTTCAATGAGCAGACTCAAATAAAAAATAATTTGATACCTACGAATAAATATTTATTATTTGTTAATTTGAATTTGTTTATTGGAATCGAATGAATTTTTTTCAGTGTATGCAAAAATTAAAAATTAATAAAAATATCTTTTTCTATTTGTTATTTCCAATTTGATTTGGAGTGATTGTTAATCTTAACGTTTTATTTATAATAATAATTAATAATTAAAAATTAAGAATTAATAATTAATAATTAATAATAATAATAATAAATTTTTCAAGGAAAATACAAAATTATGAAAGACTATTGATTTTCGAAAATAGGAAATTTTGAGTTGGAGGCAATATGAAAATGAATATTGATCATTGTTGCAGGACAAGAATAAGTATCACTTATATCAATTTGCAAATAAATAATCATTCGTATCAAGGTTCAAAGCATTATACAGTTAACGTGTGCATATTTTACCAGACATCCTAATCAACCATGGTTAATATCCAAGTATCATACTCAATCGTTTGACGTTATTCGCAAAAGGAGGCCACTAGGTCGTGTATCGTGAAAAATCAGCGAAAAAAAATTAATTCCATTCGTACAAATTATAAAATCAATAAAATTCTTAAAAACATTATTCATAATAATTAAGAAAACTAATAATTCATTATTATGTAAAATTTTATTTTTTTCTAATTTAAAATCGAAAAATATTAATTTTTAATAAAAAATGAATCAATAGTATTGAATATTAAAAATATTAATTCAATATTTTTGAAAGCCATAAAATTATATAAATAAAAGATGTTTTGATTCTTCGGTTTAGCCTAATGGCTGTTGAGCCATTAGGCCAAACAGAAGAATCAAAACATCTTTTATTTATATAAAAATATTAATTGTTATTAAAATTCACTTTTTTGTGAAACGAGATGAAAAAAAATAATAGAAAAAAAAATACCGGAGAATTGAACCCTGACTCTTGAATTAAAAATCCAGAACGCTCTCCACTAGACTGAAAACTAATTATTTTTGTTGTCCCTTATTGCAATTGTATATGACAGAAACCATCGTGAAATGAAACAAAAATATTCATAAATTGTTATTAATTTGATTATAAAAAGTACTTTACACATTTAACAAATGAAAGAAAATTATAAAAGCAACTTTTTCCACACATTCGCACATCTTATATTATTCACGATAATGAGAAACAATTTCATTTTAAATATTGACTTTAGCGTATGATAAATCATAAATACCTGAATGTTTTTTAAATTTATGTCACTCTGATTAAGATAAATGCAACATTAAACTTCCAAGTATTATATTATTAATTTGATACAATCTGTATTGTTTAGAAAAAAAATGTATTCCTACACTGAAACTGTATTGATTATACTTTCGATATAATAAAAAATTATACACCCATCCTACACATTTTCATTTTTGTTACAATTTTTTCTTTTTTAATAATTTTGAACAATTCACGACTCTAATTTATTTATTATATTAAATTATAATTAATTCTTCTATTTATAGTAAATATTTATTTACTTCTATGTAGGTAAAGTATAAATTGTTTAAAATATAAAGTACAAAAAAAATTGAATACTATATGAATCATAATTTATCATAATCGTAATAATTTTTTAAATGAATCGAGAATTGAATAATTGTTTAATTAAGAGAAATTATTTATAAAGCGAAAGATAAGTGTAATTATTTTAATATATGCGCTTTATGAATCCTTTGTCGCGACGCGCGTGTGAATATATTCTTCGAGTAATCAAATTAGTTCAAGCTCTTTGTGTCTAAGGATCTTGTCCTATGAGTCACACGAGAATGTATATATATATCTTCTCTCTCATGGAGACTCTTAACAGACAAACTATGTATAACTATTTAAATAAACAAGACAAAGAAATAAATCCTGTTATATAACTTTTAGTTACGAGCGGGAAGTTATTTAAGGAAAGGAACATTCTCTTCCTTTCAAATTACAAAAAAAAAAAAAAAAAAAAATTTTAAGTGCTATTAAATTATTTATTTAAATAATAGCGCTTTATTAAA